TCCTGCTTAGAATTTCATACTTGTTTTTTTAAAAAAGTTAAAACTTGCTCAATGACAGTCCTTTGAAAGGAACCCAAACTGCCTTTTACCTCTGCATCCCTAAAACAGTGCCTGCTAGGCATATAAAAGTCACTCTTTCTCATTCTGGCCAGGTGGCTCAGATGGTTGGAGCTTAATCCTGTACACCAAAAGGTTACCGGTTGGGGTGCCTCTGGGAGACAGCCAATTGATGTATCTCTCTCTCTCCCCATCTCTAAAATATCAATAAATATATCCTTGGGTGGGGATATTTTTAAAAAGCACTTGATTTGTGAACTACTCAAGAAATTTTTCTCAAAATCAAATACCCAAATCCAGTTCCAAGGGGATTCTGTTTTTAATATTTTTATTGCTTTCAGAGAAGGGAGACAGAAACATCAATAAGAATCATCTATCAGCTGCCTCCTACACGCCCCCTACTGAGGATCAAGCCCACAACCGAGGCTTGTACCCTAACTGGGACTCGAAACCTGACCTCCTGGTTCATAGGTCAATGCTCAACCACTGAACCACACTGGCTGGCGCCATTCCAAGTTTTATTACGAAAAAATAATGCCCAAAGAGCTGCAGGATTAGCAGACTTCAAAAATCCTTTCTAATAACATTAAAAACCCAGATCCTGTTCCTTCTGTCATTACTGGGATTAAAGTTCTTGAGAACACAAGTAAGACACCAAGTATGCAAAAGCAACTAGACAAGACAAACTCAAAAACTCAGCCATAATGAAAGAATACAAACCCAGTAGAGGGGAAAATTGTAATCCCAGCAAGGGGGGAGGGGGGAATTTTAACAAGAAAAAGCCAGGCAACAATACAAAAATCAATAGAATTGTTTCACTAATCGAATAATTCTCTATTTCATCAGTTCACTAGTGGTTTTCACATTAAGGTCCCTCAAAATTCAGAGTTAAGATGCTGCCAAAATGAGTGGTTTCTCAAGTCAAAGAAAATACTCAAATTGATATCCTTGAAAGTTTCTCCAATAAAATTTAAACATTTTGCATATTGTTCACTAAGCAGTGGGTCAAATATTAAATAACAACTAATATTAATAACACTTGCAAACAGCCTACCATGCCTAGCTACTTGTGATTTTCACATCACTTAACGATTAGATACAACTGAAACTGACATTAATTTCAGGACATCAGTCTGGCAAATGTCCAGGACTATCAATATTCCTGGTACCAGAGCAAACTTAAGAATCACTGATTTGGGTCACTAATACCCTATTAAAAATTAAGATATGTGAAAAGGTTTCCCATTTATCATTTTTACATATTATATCCATATTGACCTGTCTATGCCAATTGTTTTCTCTAACATCTAGCAGACATCATCTGCTAGGAAACTTGGTTAAGTACAATAAAGCAATATAAGAACAAGTTTAGCTTTTTGAGGAAGTGAAGGCTGGAGTTAAGATTTATTGCCCTCCATGTAAAAAGGTGAAGGGGAATGATTACTGTGTATTATACACCTGAAACTAATGTTATACTAGAGGCCCGGTGCATGAAAATTCATGCACTGGAAGGGGGGGGTTCCCTCAGCCCTGCCTGACCCCTCACAGTCCGGGAGCCCTCAGGGGTGGGAGGCGACCCAGTGATCAGGGGAAGGCAACACTCCCATCACACCTCTGCTGCTGCCACTGCTGGTAGCAAGCCTCGGGCGGCCCTGGGCAGCTGCCATCTGAGGCTTGCCTGCGCCTTGGGCCGGCCCTGGGCAGCTGGAGGGCTGATGGGACTGGGGGACTCCAGAGGCAGGTGTGCGGGCCTGGCCTTGCTGTGCCCCTGCCACCCCAGCGGGGCTGATGGGACTGGGCACCGCCATCTTTGAGGGCGTGGCAGTCAATTAGCAAATTCCCTTATTGGCTGTGGATGCCGCCATATTTAAGGATGGGACAATTAGCATATTCTCTATTAGATAAGACTAGAGACCCAGTGCACTAAAATTCATGCACTAGCGGGGAGGGAGTCCCTCAGCCAGGCCTGCACACTCTCGCAGTCCAGAAGCCCTCAGCGGATGTCCACCTGCTGGCTTAGGCAAGGAGCAGGCCTAAGCCACAGTTGAACATCCTTAGCACTGTCGAGGAGTCAGGAGAGGCTCCCACCACCACCGCTGGCAGCCGTTAGCCCAGCTTGTGGCTGAGCAGAGCTCCCCCTGTGGGAGTGCACTGACCATCACGGGGCAGCTCCTGCACTGAGCGTCTGCTCCTGGTCAGTGCGCATCGTAACAATCAGTCGTTCCTGGTCATTCCACCACTAGGATAAATTTTCTTATTACCCTTTCATTATATAGGATACCTACTATACTTTTAAAAAAATGTTACAACCCTGACCGGTTTGGCTCAGTGGATAGAGCGTCGGCCTGCGAACTCAAGGGTCCCAGGTTCGATTCCAGTCAAGGGCATGTACCTTGGTTGCGGGCACATCCCCAGTGGGGGGTATGCAGGAGGCAGCTGATCGAGGTTTCTAACTCTCTATCCCTCTCCCTTCCTCTCTGTAAAAAAAGTCAATAAAATATATATTTTTAAAAATGTTACAGGCAAAACAGATGCTACTCTTAAACTTTTCTTACAGCTTGCTAGATTAAAGTTGCACAAAAGCTGCACTATACCCTGCAGAGGCTGGTCTTAAAACTGCTTGCGCTCAAGGCCACTCCACTCATGACTTCTCAGAACCTGGATCTGAAAATTTAGGCTAACTTGTTGGTACAAACTAAGTCCATCTCCTCTACCTTTACTTAAAGGGTCTTATTTTATTGCCTCACTGTATAGTAAACTATTTGTAATATTTAAACAGAAGGCATTTATTTTACAGGGGTGGAAAAATCAGAAAGTCAACTGGTAAAATGTCCAAGTACCTAACACCATACATATCACTGAGGTACATTTTAAAAACCTAAAGGGTTAAAAGCTAGGTTCTACCACTTCATTTTTCTTAATCCTCACCCAAAAAAATTATTGAGAAGAAAACATCAATAGGTTGCTTCCTGAACACCCCCCGACCAGGGCTAGAACCCACAACCTAGGTATTTACCCTGACAGGGAATCAAACCTGTAACTTTTTGTTGAGCCGGACACTTCAACCAACCAATGGAGCCACACAATCAGGGCAGGTTCTGGCAATTTTATTTTTAATACATTTTTATTTACTTCAGAGAGGGAGATAGAAACATCAATGATGAGAATCATTGATCAGCTACCTCCTGCACAACCCCCCACAGGGGATTGAGCCAGAAACCAGCACATGTGCCCTGACCAGATATCAAACTGTGACCTCCTGGTTCATAGGTCAACACACAACCACTGAGGCACGCCAGCTGGGTGGTTCTGCCCTTTCAAACAAAGCCAGTGCCCTCCATCCAAGTTAACACATTGCGGACCAGTAGTTTTAATGCTAGCTTTACCCAGTGGCCAGGTAAGTTTCTATTGAACGAGTACAAAAAATGTTATACATAAATGTTAAAGGCGCGCTTTAAAATTAAATACCCATTGTTTTGAAGTGACTACATATCTTACAAGGTAATGTTTTTAAAGAATTCTCGTAATTAGCCACAAGCCTCAGAACAGGAAACACCAGAACTCTCACGATCCATCCGCAATGTTATCACATCAACTCTCCCTAAAATCAGCTTCACAATTTTCTGGCCCAAGTTCTAGCCTTCAATAGAGAGAAGTGGCCATGCCAGTAAACCAAAAAGCTTTCAAATCCAACCCCAAATAGAATTTCCCCTGTTGGATCCCACATGTGGAGAAAACCAAAGCAATCTTTTTGGTGCTTTCCTCAAAATCCCTGCAGGGCTATGCCAAGAGTCTGCACTGAAGGTGTGGTTTTTAGGCTTCTGGAACTAGACTTTTTGGGCTCTAACACCAGTTTAACATTTATTTGCTCTTCTCTTTGGCATAATTTCCTCCAGTAAAACTATTACCTAATGGGTAGTTTTGAAGATTCAGTTACCATTTATATAATACTAGCACTCATATGGACTAAAGTCTAATCAATCTCTGAGACTCCTGTACCTTTAAATCATTACCTGCAGGTAGCAGGATCTAACTCTTAAGATGGATAAAGAACCTCAAGCAGCTTTCACTACTGTTTTCCTCTTCACATATATTGTGACATCCATGTCTCAGGACTAAAAGAAAAAGCATGTGAACCCCTTAAAAGCCATGTGCATGGATCTAAAAAATACCAACCAACCTGCCCGCCCCCCCGTCCTCCCCACCCACCAAAGAAACACCTTTCTGTTCACCAAAACTGTAGTACAACCTTTAAGAAAAGTATAAAACATTAACTGTACAATTTGCTTCCTAAATTGTCCTCTTGACTATGGAAGCCCAAGTACCCTGATACCAATAGAATAGTCAGGTGATACAGGGCGAGAGCATGGGTCACAGACAAAGGAAATTCATACACCATTAGTCACCTCACTGCTTTAAACATCTCACTGACTGCCTATTTTCTGACTAGCTGGAAATATCAAAAGTACGGTTCAAATTTTTTAAGAATAAAGAACCTGAGCTAACCAAATGACTTCAGGTTCTCTACAAGAAATTGTGTTGAATGTAGATGGGAAGGGAGGAATAAATAACACACAACCTTCAGACAGATAGACAAAAGCAGTTTTATAATCTTTTATTATCAATAACTAGCTGCTTGTTAGTCTTTGCCAGGCAGCTGTTAAAAGGGTGGGTGGGAGGACACCCGTGACCCTAACAAGGAAAACTCAAATTAAGCCTTTATGTACAAGCAAATTTAGAGCTCTTTTAAGTGTCCAAAGCTATTAATTAGTTTAATTGACACATTAAACTAATTTTGAATTAACATATTTGAATAACCAAGAACTAAAATGTTCAAATTTTTCTAGTACAAAAAAATTAAATTTGCTTTAGTTATAAAAGAGCTCTGTCAATATACACAAACTATATACTTCAGACATTCACAAAAATGTGAGCAGAAGGCTTATCAAAAGACATTTAATACAATTAGGTTTCAACAACCCCTGGTGGTCCACATCTACAAAGATATCCAGCCCAACCCAATCCAACCCCCCCTCCATAGCCCACCCCCACAAAAAAAGCACATACTTACCAGAATTTTTAGCAAGTATGATTTGGGTATTTGTTTTTGTTTTTTGTGTTTGTGGGTTTTTTTTAAAAAAAGGCCCCCTGGGCAAGTTATTTACAGTTTAATTGCCACTGTCAACTGATCTGGACCGGGACCGAGACCTGGACCTGGACCTGGACTTCTGGCGATCCACAGATGCTGGAGACTTAGATCTACTTGAAGAACCACGTTTCTGGCTCTTCTCGGGTGCAGGAGACCTACTAACAGAACGGGACTTGCTCCGGCTTCGGCTCCGGCTCCTGCTCCTAGACCGGCTGTAAGACTTGCGACTCCGAGAACGAGACCGAGACCGAGACCGGCTACGAGACCTAGAGGAACTCCTACTCCGGGAACGAGACCTGCTTCGTGACCTACTGGTAAGGGGGGAAAAAAACAAAAAACAAAACATAAGCTGCAGGCCCTACAAATCCATTAAGTAAAACTTTGACTTAAAAATGCTAGTGTCCTGGCCGGTGTGGCTGTTAGTTGGGCGTTGTGTCCCATGCATGCAATGAAAGGTTGCTGGTTCTTTCCAGTCAAGATACATTGCCTGGGTGATGAGCTTGTTCCCCAGTAAGGGGCATACAAGAGACAACTGATAGGTGTTTTGCTCTCCCTCTCCTGTAAAAATCAAAATATTTTAAAAATATATTAAGGAGATACCTGTGCCTTTTGCTGCCTTCGATTAATTTTATTTTTCTCCCATTTATTTCCTTTCCAGAAAGTTTTTCAATAGCATTCTTTAAATCACCATAAGAGGCGAACTCAACCACCCTAGTGAGGAAAAAGAAAAAAACATTTGTGAAGTTTTGTACACCTTACAGTCTCACAAAGGAATCTAGATTGAGTACCTTTTCCATGCTCATTTTGCTATTACTGTATCAAGAGTTTTTAACTCTTGATGAATAACATGGCATTAGAGCAAGGTTCCTCAACCCCCTAATTGTTGACAATTTAGCCCAAAGTTTGTGGTTAGGGGCTTTCCTGTGCATTGTAGAATGTTTATATGCATCCCTGGCCTTTATCCACAAGATGCCAGACATTGCCAAAAGTCCCCTGAAGCAAACTCACCTGACAACCAAGAGCATTCACAAATTTTAAGTACTGAGAACATTCACAATAAAACTGCCAAGGTATTTTAACAGGCTTACAATCTACAGTATATACTTACCCTTCATTTAATTTAGGTCGATGTGCATCCGCAAAGGTTACTTCTCCAGCTTGTCTCATGAAATCTTTGAGATCCTTAACACAAGACAATTGTGTCACGCAGAGAAAAGGAAACGTGACACACAAACAACATGATATAAAAACAAGACTACTGAAAGAGAAGATGTTAGATAAAGTACAAACATGGCATTTACCACACTTGTATTCTATCAGAATTCAAAAAGTATTTATGTCAGGGCACGAAATAAACAAATAGCATATTGCTTTTAAGCAAAATGCTAAAGGAAATTTAGATGTTAACATTAAGTAGTATTAGTCTATACTGAGCTCAATACAAAAGGAAAACAAAAAACAAAACAAAAAAAACAAACAAGTAGAAACAGTACATATTTTTAAAGACTAAAGTAGAAATTTTATATTTAAAAACAGAACATTTACAAGACATCAATTATTTTGTGCCCCATATGTCATTAAAAAAGTTTACTTTACCTTTATTATTATTTCCCTAGGCTAGTCAAGCAGCAAACCGTTAATCGGTCGAAGAAACCTTCATGACATATGCCCGACTGGCTCTTCGCCACCCACTTGAAGGACACTACCCAATCGATGGAAGCCTTTAATCGCACAGCCCTCCCTATTAGCAGACTATTGGCGGATGCAGACACGTTCTACTCTTGTGCAGTTACCAAGGACCACTTTACTGCGAACAGGATTCCAACGACCAACTAATTTCGTATCGTTCGACCAGGACCTCTTATTCGAAGCGTTACAGGAAGACAGCTCTCAACTTAGGGATCAGATCACGTTATCAGCGCTCTGGGATCGCTGCAACCTGGCACTCCAAGTTAAGTGCCCCGATTACGTCTAGACCGGCAAACACAGATCTAGAGGTGGCCAATTGATCACTGTAGGAGCTGACTGGCAAAGTCAACCAGGCCCAACCAAGAGTGACCAAGACAACGATTAGGATAACCCACAGGCACTCCTCGTCATAAGGCCAACGACACAGATAGGCTGGCAAATAAAGGGTTTAATATTTGGTTAAAATTGATTTTAAGAACAAGAAAAAATATCCTCAAAAACATTTACATTTGATCACTAATATTAAAATTTGCAATATCCCCCAGTTACATTAAATTAAAATTTTAAAATTACAATTAAGTCCATTAATTTAATTAAAAATAGAACTACTTTTAATAAAATGTTAATAAAACTTTAGCTACCCATTCCACTAGTTTTTAAAAAGCCACATTAAAATATCTCAAAACTGAATTTCTACACACCTGCCAGCTGACTCTTGAAGACAAATTTTCAACTATAAGCCGATTTTCTGTTCTTACAGGTGGAGCATTTCTGAGAAAAAAAAAAACAAGTATTCACAATGGAAGAAATACAGCAATTCGCAATTTTGTTCCAACTATGAGCAAGTTTATGCATTCAGATATAAGCCATTCAAATGATTTCATCAACTATTTAATTATTTTATGCTTCATTAAAGTGACTTAACCAAGACGAAACAGTGAACTGACATAGGCACAAGAAAACTGACTTTCTTGGTAAATACCAGAATCACTTATTGCTAACTAGAGGGCCAATGAACAAAATTCATGCGGGGGGGGGCGGAGGGAGGAGTCCCCTCAGCTCTGCCTGTGCCCTCTTGCAGTCCGGGAACCCTCAGGGGATGTCTGACTGCTGGTTTAGGCCTGGCTCCCCCGGGCATCAGTCAGACATCCTTAGTGCTGCCTCAGAGGCGGGAGAGGCTCCCACCAATGCCGCTGGTGCCATGAGCCCGGCTTCTGGCTGAGCAGGGACACCCCCCGCCCCTCTGTGGGAGTGCACTGACCATCAGGGGGCAGCTCCCGCGATATGCGTCTGCCCCCTGGTAGTCAGTGCATGTCATAGCAACTGGTCGTTCTGCCGTTCACTTTGCATATTAGGCTATTATACAGGACAGTACTTAATCATTAAATAGTCATGCAGTAATGATTATTTGAAACAGCCACTGGCCATCACATACCGTCTATCATTTCGAGGTCTGCGACTACTAAAGCGATCAGAGTATCGCCCTCTACCTCTCCCACCTCGAGACCGAGCTCGAGCATGTTCAATAGTAACCCTAAGGAAGAGAAGAAAAATCTTCATTATCCACACAAACTATGTAAGAGATCTACTTAGGAAAATACCCCAACGCACCCTAGTCTGCTCTATTTTACAATGCTAACTAACTGTAAAACTAAAATTAAGATTCTCACCTTTCACTGCAGAGTTCTTTTCCATCAAGTTCATATACAGCATCATCAGCATCCCTGGGATCCTCAAATTCCTAAAATACAAGCATGAAAAAAACATATAATACTTGGCAGTCTTAAAAGTGTATTCTACAGCAAGAGGAGCACTAAAAACATTTAACAGGTAAGGAAGTATCTTAATGACAGTACCCTATCAATAAGCCTATTTGACAAGTGACCAGGAGTGGTTCCCCAGTCAGCAGTGAGGTTCTTTTCTTCCTTAAGGAAATTCACTGCCTTCAGGATGCACGCATTTTCTAAAGATACTCTACCTGCCTCAATAAGATAAAAAAAACGTTGCTCATCGAAAGCTTTACCAGCGTAACAACAGATAATCCAACCAGTTCTAAACACTCACCACAAAACCAAAGCCTCTTTTCAGATCGATATCTCGTATTCGCCCATATCCCTTGAAGAATCTTTCCACGTCTTTCTCCCTGGCCGCTGGATTTAGCCTCCCGATGAAGACTCGACAGCCGCTCATGGCGCCCGGCTAGTATTTCCTGTTAGGAGAATAATTCAGTGGAGACACCCCGCGTGAATGTAAGAACGGCTGGTCCAGGGGTCAAAAACATGAACGGCATAAAATAAAATGTTTACCGGGTGATGTTATAAACAAGATTGCCAAGAGTGCCTCTTATTAGGCCGGGTCCCTTGCAGACAAAATTAAAACTCGGCTCTCAACACGATCCTTCCCTGGGCCCAGAACGTAGCCACCGCAACGCCCACTGCCGCCTCCGGAACTGCGCAGCCTCACACTCGCCCCGGCTCTTCTGGCCCCCTCCCATCTGCCGCAGTTAGGAAAGGCCGAGAAGTGCGGGCGGGGCCGGCGCCGCCCTCCGCGCGGCCAGCCCAAT